AGACGTAAGCCATGCAATATTTCTTCCAATGACCTTTCATTCTATAATGAAACCAAAGGTCATTAGATTTAGTATTGTCCTTTGCTTTGACGGTCTTCGCCATATTGAACGCTTTCACAAAGCTCATTTAGACTTCCTCTTAATATCCTTAGAGGAATCAGTGGCTTGCCCACTCATAACTTTGATATTGAGCATAACAGTCTTAAGCATGTTAAGCAATTCAATAATTGTGCATTCGAGCTTATTCACGTTAAATTCATAATTAGTTGTGAATATCTTTCTCTAACAGATATTGCAGAATCAACTCACTACTTATTTCATGGTTTATGATTGAACTGAATAGAGACATTTCTCAATGTCAATCACCTTCAGTGTCTAAACATCGACTGAAGAATACTATGTCATTTTGCACCGGTATAATTGCTTGTAAATCTTATATCCTTCCACACATGATTATCATCATACAACTCTTCGTAATGAAGAATTATGTGTTAATATCTATACTTTTAAGTTGATTTTGTAACTGTTGCAAGTATCACATGTGTACAGTACTATCATCATCACTGTGTTTATTACAGTAGCCACCTCATCCTTAATCGAGTCATTAGCAGGTGTCTCTGAAAATGACTACTCAAGGACGTAACCAATTTTCTCATGCCTGAAAATAATTCTCAAGTTGCGGTGCTAATCGAAAAATTTAATTTGGTTGTTGGCATCTAGTATGCCATTTAAAACATATGGTTACTCAAGATTTAATATAAATGTAAATGACGAAAAGAAAAGAATAATATATTAAAATGCATCAATTAATTTAATATGGACTTTTATTAAATTAATTATACTCCCACTGTTTAACTAAAATTTATGACCCTCTCACATAAATTTATAAAGTCCATACTTGACACCCAGTGGGCTGGGATCCCATCTGTTATATTAAGATCTTGAGTGTATTCAACAAGCTTTAATAAAATATTTGGGTATATACTATTATCAATTGTATCTCCATACAACTCCCAGATCATTAAGTAGACAACTCTCTGTCTTCACACGTCTTATATGTTAGCTTAATATGCCTTTAAAATTTATCGCATTGAGTGTTTCCAATAAAAGATAAATTTTAGTTATGTCAAACCCGTCATTCAAAAATATCAAATACTTCATAGTGTCAAACATATCCCTAATAGACCAGCCTTGAGTGTACTCAACAAGTTGAGACGATTTGGGACTCTAGTTTTTCACTATATGATGGAAATCGATTATATATGTGACTTAATATTTTATTGAGGGGTTTTGCATTCAAATGTCTCATTGTAACATTCATATATATTTTATTATACATCTACCATGTAAATAAACATATATATAATGTAATGTAATAATGTGGACGACTATGAACTTTTACTATCTAATCTTCCCGAACCATAAGGAAGATTAGTTGGTCAATTCCTAGGGATATTGCATTGTATCAATGCACTATCTTCATAGTTTCCTCCGCTTTTTATTTCTTCAATTAGTCCAGCTGCAACATATATCATATACTAGTTAGCACATAGGTCTAAATGAAATTGGACTCGCAGGTCCAAAATAAATAAGAGCTCGCATGCCCTTAATAGTAACAATAACAACGAGCTCGCAGGCCCAAAATAATTAAGAGCTCATAGACTCATAAAACAACAAGAATAAAACTAATCATTCACCACATCCACATGGTCGGGTCCATAATCGTCCACTAATAGTACATTCATCACATAACTGTATGCCTATATAATATCTAATATTATATGCAAATACATTTCAAGTTTCTAGCAATTAAGATCGTCTAAACTCTTTTAGACTAATAGATCGAAATAATAAAATAATTAATTAATCATATTAATCAATTAATTTAATTAGCGGGCATATTTAATTAAAATTAAATTTTAATTAAATATCGAATTAGAATCCAACTCTAATTCCACAATTATAGGGCGAGATTATTTAATTAAAATTTAATTTTAATTAAACATTAAATTAGAGTCCAACTCTAATTTCAAAACTTAAGGCAGTTGAATTTAATTAAATCAAATTTTACTTAAATGTCAAATTAGAATCCAATTCTAATTTCAAGGAAAAATTTTAGGGCAAGACAATTTAACTAAAATCAAATTTTAATTAAATATCAAATTAGAATTCAATTTTAATTTCTAGAATATATTCTGGTGAATAATTAATTAAAATCAAATTTTAATTTAGTATTAAATTAGAGTTCAACTCTAATCTAAATTGAATTAATATTTTAATCTAGGATAACACTCCTAAATAAAATAAATTCAATTTAGGGTCAAAATTTAATATTTAAGTTAAAATCATATTTTAACGAAAATATAAAAGGTCGTCAATTTTAGATAAAATTTTAATTTGGGTCAAAATTGATAATATAGGTCAAAACCCATTTAAAAACCATTTTAATACTTAAATTCAAAACACCCTTTCAAAAATTACAATTTTGACCTAAGTTTCAAATTAATGGTAGGGCCCCTTAATTTTTGAGGCGAAAGCCGTCGCCGTCCGCGCTGTTGTAGTAGTAGTCGCGTGTTGCTGCAATAACAAGCAGCAGCAGCGCGGTTGCTTTCTCTTCTAGCGGCGTGCTCACCACTGTAAGAAGCGGCGAGCATGCCGTTGCAGGTCGCCAGTCACCCACCGCCGACAACCATGTCTGATCATTTTCCTTTTTTTTTTTTTTTTGAAATCAAATTTCAAAAATATAAAATGAAATTTCCTTTTAATTGCCAGAAACATGAAAAATGGATAACAATCAACTTTTGATTACAAAAAATTATTAAACAATTTCTAACAAACACAAAGTAGGCTCTGATACCACTGTTGGGAATCTACTTAAACTTGCGCACCGAAAATTAAAACAAATTTCGATTCTCACCAAGGATTTCTATGTGTTTAGGTAGAAATTGTGATAAAAGTCATACCTTTAAAAATCCTGCAAACCTTTTACCATTCTTTCCGTTCCAGCAACCTCGATATGTCATCCACAGCTGTGCAATTGTCCAGCCTCCAACGATGATCCACACAGAGAACAAGATTACAGGATTAATATTTTCTTCTTGTGCTAGCAAGAATAATGAAGTCTCTATAAAATTGTAAACCCTAATCAGTTATTTATATAAGTCCAAACGGGTTTGGCTTGACCGGTGCAATATTTAATTAATCTATTTAATTAAATCCGGTCCGTAAATTAATTAATCCAATTAATTGATTCGGGCCTACAAATAATCAACCCAATTAATTAATTTATTCAACGATTGTTAAATTAATTAATTGACAGATTACAATATTTCAATTCTCTTTTGTGTGCGACCCATCAAATTCTCAATCACGATACCTAACGACATGAATTATTATTTTGATCTAATTAAAATTGATAAATTAAAATACCCTTTTAATTTATCACCAGTTCACACTCGCCGTCCCAAATTGACATCGAGCAATGTGTCAGGGCAATACATGTGACCAAAAATGTCACGTGGTATGACAAAATCAAACTCGTTCATTTACCGTGAAACTATAATCCCTTCGTCAATATGATCCGATCAATTATGAGATATGGAAGTGTGTCAATTTCGATTATTGATCATATCTTTCACTCCACTATTAAGTCAATATAAGTCGAACGTTGGAGATTAACCACTGATATCAGATAGTTATCCATGTAGAATCTCTCGGTGGGTTTCCAATGTTTTGTTCTATAACAAAATATCAACGTATTCATTTAAGTGTCACCACACTTTAGTTTGTGAGAACAGATACTTACTTCACAAGTAAGAAATGCTACACGTGATGGTCTATCCGTAATAACGATCTCCGTATCTCGTTATTACTTACGACCACAAACGATTTAAGATTCAATCATATATAATTTGAATCTCACAATCACAATTTCTTGTGATTAACAAATTATCAAGATTTGAATATGAGGACTTTATTTAATTTAATTGAATATTAATTAAATAGATTTGCCATACAATACATTAATTTTATAATAAAAGTATATATGTCCAAGGTTGATTGAATTTAGGGTATAACACTTACAAAACACTACATATGTATGTTAATAAGATTCCAACTAATGAACGTAAAATGTGAATTATGCATTTACAAATCATTAGCCCTGTCTTATTTTGGTAAAAGTACGAGTCCCCTTGCTTTTGCTATTCGTGGAGAGACGATAATAATGGTACTTAATTGCTCTCCATTTTATAATGACCGGCCCACCCTGAAATGAAAAAGGCAATTTGGTAGAAAACATCGACCCTAGAACATGTTTAGAATCATGGGAATTGTGATATATACTCTTATTCTGGTGGGGGTGGGCCTGCACAGGTAGGGCAAGTGAAATATTAATAATCACATCTCAAACCATTTTCAAATTATTATTATTATTATTTTTTTTTTTGGGGATTTTAATTTATTCTCATTTGAAAGTAAATTATCAATCCTTTATATACTTTGATAGCACGTCACGCGTGCACGACTGTGACATTTTAGTAGATTCCTTGAATGGAGTATGCCAAAGACTCAGGTGACAAAGAAATGGAAAGTTGAAAATAATAATAATAATAATAATAATAATAATAATAATAATAATAATAATAATAATAATAATAATAAATTGAAATTAGTACTAGTTCAAAACATAGAATGGAGATTGCATGTACAATTTTTTGTGTTTGTAAGTTTGGGCAAATGTCACATCAATTCTTAACTTTTTGTTGTGATATGGAACAATTTTTAAACAAAAAATTAGTAATTATTATAGTGAGTAATCAGATAAGTTTTAGAATCTTAATCCTCATATTTCTTTTTACTGGCAATATGGTTATATTGAGTGTTTCTATCATATACAAATAGCTGGTAATAATGATCTTCTTCTTACTTTATGTCATGTTAACACATGAACTATTTTTGCATACAAAAGAATACTATTTTCACCAAAAAAAAAATAATACTAAAAAAATCTTCTTTTAATTGAAAAAATCGAGGTAATACCAGAGCAAAAACTAAATTTCTCTCATCTTACCTAAAATCACACATTTACCCCCATATAGCTTCACCCTTTTAAACTTTGTGCAACATGTACAAGCATGTGCAACCCTATATGCCCTACTCCTAATTGCATGTGGTACACCAGCACTCAATAAACCGACATAAAAGTTGTGTTAAATCAACTATCTTGGTTTGTAAATAGATCAAGACGATGATCGGCCAATCGTAAGGAATATACAGTTTTCTTGTACTCGCCCCAAGTAAAAAATCGATAGAGAGCTTTATTTTGCAGAGAGACCATTTCTGGCACGGGAGATATGCTTGCATCTAGGGGTGGAGCTGCAAAATACATCATCGACATTCTTGGTTTAATTGCATTTGCAACTACCCTATGTCTCACGCTTTCAAATCTTGCGTTTGTCAAAGCCTACATTTGACAATCAAATTAAAATTCATGTCAACAAGAAGAAACTAACAACAAATTGCATTTATCAAAGGATAGAAAGTGGTATTGACCTGAAAGGCATCGCCTACAAACACACAAAATTGATTGGAGTCTGGACGAACAGGGATCCACAAACCATCTCGTGAACAAATTTGAAGGCCACCAACATCGTTGGATCTCAAAATTGTCAATACTTGAGGGTCGGAATGTTCTCCGAACCCAATACGAGTTTTTGAATGCTCAAACAATTTGGGGGCTGGGTTCCAATCCTCCATGGAATCAATGTTGACTGAAGGATAGTGATTAATTCTGAAGCATGAATCACTATTTACATCTCTAATGAGTTGACTAAAAATAGATTTGTCTTCCACAGATATCCCTTCAGCCACTAAATCAAGAATCTCACATGTCAGGTTCCTAGTCGCTTGTATGTAATCATTTACAGCACTACTGCAAATATAATACAAACAAGAATCATAAGAACAAAATCATAACCCTTTTTGACATCTTTTTACTATGTTTTGGTTACCCCAAATTTAGTATCAACACATTTTTGAACAAATTGTCGCACTCTCCAAAAACTTTTCTTTTTCCATTGTGGAAGTTATCTATTAGTCCCTTGACTTTTGTCATTTTTGGCACACTTTGACACTTGGGTTCCTCGTCATATTAAATAATAATAAATTTATTGGTGCACTTCAATGGTCGTTAAAAAGAGTACTAGACTCCGAAAACAAGAAATTTACCATGATAAAAATGGGTAAAATTTGTATCTTTAAACACATCATCCTGAACTAAAACACAAACAGTGAATCCGAAGAGAAAATGGGAAAGACTCGATCAAAGTTCATCCATATATTTCAACATCATTGAAAACGACTTATCTTTTACTTTGGGTTGTGATGATATATGTTGTCCAGCAAGAAAAAGGTAAGATATGAACCAAATTGCAAAGAAACAGAGAGTCCCTTTCTTGTGTCACTATAGTTGAATTTAATTATATCAGAAAAATATATTTTGCCTAAGGCAGAATGTTGACGTGGACACCTAAAAATTCTTATTAAATCAAAGAAAATTTTAACAGTGAGAGGGACCTCAAACTTTGCCCTTTTCACCATGTTGCAATGGTCAACAAGAAGATCACTTCTCCCAAAGTTGTTGAAAATTCAATCATCTATGCCTAAGAGACAGTTGTTTGGATAAATTCAATTCCAACTGGGCACCAGTCATTTTCTTGACTTTTTTTTTTTAACCTCGGTTTAATTAAAAAGTTAATAAATATAATATAAAGTCAATAATTAATTTTTGTTACCCATTTTATGAATATTACAATTTTTATCTTTTTTTCAATTATTCATATTATCAAAAATTATGACCATAATTTTAAGGTTAGCACGTGTAACATTTGACCATAATTTTCATACATTCACCCTCTCTGTATGTCTATGACAAGTTGATAACATTGAAAAAAAAGTTTTCAACGTTAACCGACGTGTAAATCTCACCCAAATTATCTTGCCTTTTTAAGAATAAGTACGGCATCATCAAAACTAAAAAATCTAAGGACCTAAAATTTATATATTATATTCTCTATCTGTTAAATGTGGTATGCTAAACACGAAGATTATAAAATAAGCATTTTCACTATTATCTTTTCAGTAAGAAACCAAGTCTAAGATAGGATAACCTTTCACCAGTTAACAAGCAAAAGCATATACATTTTAATATACAAGTTGAAGTTGAAAAGAGTGTTTTGACAAATGTTAACAAAGAATCTATTATCAACAAAACAGTGCATGGTTGTTTGACAAAAGTCGATTAAATACAAGGTTGAAAAATTAATAAAAATTATGGGTTCCATTAAATTAATAATTATTGACTTTGACCACAATTTTTTAACAGTTTTTTAGGCTTTCCCAACAAGGGCTAAATATTTTTATTTTGTAATTTAGTAAAAAAAGAAAGAAAGAAAAATAAAAAACTTCAAATATTTTCATTTTCTTAAAATATTACTATGTGGTTACATATTCAACCCCTAATCTATGATGACCTAAACAGTTGTCATTCAATTTGCCATTTTTTTTTCTTTTCTTTTCGTAGATGTGCAATGTATACACACAAAATATTTCATTTGATAGAAATCATAGGTACCTGAAGTTTTGAGGATTTGTGGAGATGGAGATAGATCTTTGGCAAATGGATTGAGGATTAGCTTCAAGAAGAATATATTCAAGCTCACCCTTGTCGCCATTGAATCCAATATTTTTGCAGCCATAACCAAAAGGACTAGGCGGTCCAGCCAGTTGCTTTTCAAATGCAGGTTTTGAGAAGAATTGCCGACCTTCATTTTCAACTCTAGAAATTATTTCTTTAGGAACTCCATGATTTATTACCTGGAAGAAACCGAATTCTTCGCAAGCTTTTACTATTACTTCAGAAAGTTTAGACCTTTCGAGACTGAGATCTATAACTGGAATTCCAAGGGCTCGAGTTATTTTGCTTCGGAGTGGAGTTGGTGAAGGCACAACCATTTTGTTTATAATACAATAAATATGAGAAGAAGGAACTTGAGAAAGAAGGGGTGGAGAAATTGAATGAGTTTGAGCTCTTAGGAACTTGGAAGGGGAGATCATCGTCGAGTTTGCGCGGTTAAATAGAGAGAGAGAGAGGGCCACAACCTTTGACCTTTTGAATAAAGATGGTATACTAGTACTAAATAAAAAATTCAAGAAAAAAGATATATATACTTGCTCTGAATTCTATTAATAGCAATATTCAGGAACACAAGCGTTATGTTTCAAGAGAATCGTTGTACATTTCCACAAAAAGAGTTTCAGTACAAAAATACTCAGGCCGCTTGCATCAACAAACATAGCTCTTGTATTTTTAGTGATGATAGGAACTAGGAACTTGGATGGTGGTGGAGTTGCTTTAGAAGATGTTGGTATCTAGCAAAGATTATATTAGATATTTAAGTTCGAGATTAACGACTAGAAGAGACAACTTGAAGAAAGTAGTATTAAAAATTTAATGTTCTATCTTAAAACATCAAATTTGTTAAGAGGAGCAACACAGCCTCCTATATATTGTTAATTATTTCATATTTGTTCGATGCGAGATTTTATTCTAACATGCCCATAAGATGGCGACTACGTTGATAACACCAAATTTGAAATTCTATTCGTTCGTTTGAGTTTTAGCCTCCATTTTGCCATATTATTTCAAATTTTAATACTAGGTTGATACATAGGAAAAAATTTCAAAAATTTCCTTTTTAACTTAAAAAACATATGGGCCTAGGAAGTCCCCCCTCCCCCATCCCTTTGCCTCTGTTTATAAACAATTTAATGATGAGGATGAATGAGTTGGTAGTACGTTTATAAACACAAACCAAACATAGACAAAAGATAATGCAGCAATAATAATGGGATGTGTGCACTATTGGCACTATACTAAGCACATGTTTGACCTCGATTTTTTAAAACTTATTTTTTCCTCAAACTCATTTAAACCACAATTTTTAATAAAATAATTTGCACATGTACCAATAATTTTTTTATACTTTTTAATTATGCAATTTTTTTAATATAATTATTTTTCTCAGAATATATGTTAAAAAATCTCTATCAAATAAGGGCTAAATATTACGGGTAGAGACAGCACAATTTGACGGTAATTAAGAAAAGAACGACAATTAAGACGTGAAAATGAAGAAACATAAAGAAGCTTCTTTTAGACTGGTGAGGTCAAGGGTGGATATTTTTAGTTAAATTGAACCTTGAACAAATTCGCACTAAGACAAAATGCAAGGCACATTAAATATCGGAAAAAACCAATGTTTGGTAGTTAAAATTCTACTTGGTCTACAATGTAGTAGATATTTCTAAGAAAGCAAAGCATACAGCTAACTTTTCCATCGACTTCATCTTTGTTATCAAAGTAATAAATTAACTTATAAGGCATATTGTCCAATGTTCACACAAGAATTTCTAGTTTCTACCTAAACAAGTCTTTCCTATCTTTTCATTGAAAATACAATATACATTTTTGACAGACGAATATAGTTGGCAGAAGGATGTTTGTACACACTATGTTGTAAAAATTACGTAGGTAGGCCGCAAACATTAGGTGAGGACAGTCGTATTAGCGGCAGTTTGTCTACTCTTGGATTCTAGTACGTCTTCAACACATTCCAATGAGACTACAAAACCTTACCTGTATCATTTTAGCAAAATTAAATTCTAGTTTTTCAAATACTAAAGTATTCGATGAATAAAATTGGAATTTGTTTATATTGTAATGAGATTATAATTTAAATTGAAGAAGCACTAAGTTAATTTCTCTGATTAACTAAACAAGCATGATCGAGTAAAAAAATTGTTAAGATTTTGTCCAGGGTATAGACATAGGGATGACAATTTGAACCGTTAAAAACGAAAACTGCGGTTAACCGAACCGAATGGGACGAAAAAACCAAACCGATAGTGCAATGGGGTTGATATAGTATTTGATTTTAACGAACCGGTTCGTGACGGTGTGGGTATGATATTTATGCCGTCGAACTAAAATCGAACCGATTATCTACTTAAAAAAATCATTCTTTTATTAGGGATGACAAGGTTTAGTGAAGATGAAGTTGACAAAGAGGTACATTTTTTTATTTAAATCTTAGTTAAAATCATTCTAGATTAGGTATTATCATTGTATTCTCTACTTACATTTCTTATTTACTATATAGGAATTAATTTTGAGTGTTGACTTATACTAGTAAAAGTTATGGGGAAGAATGAAGATTGAATATAAGTTAAGGTTAAAGCTTTTGAATTATTGAGCATGAATCAAATAACTACAATGCACAAGAATCAAGAATGAAGGAAAAGTTTAGTATTGTTATTTCATAATATTGTTTGTTAAATTTGTATCTTGCAATTGAAATTTGGAATAATGTTTACATTTTCGTTTGAAATATTGTGTTTTTGTTTTCATTAACTCTCTTTTCATAAATTGTTTTATATTAATTTGACGGATGGACTTATAAAAAATAATTTATTTTCGTAATTATTAACCGAACCGAATCGAGTTGAACCAAGATACGAACCGAACGCATTTACGTGATTATGGTACAGTTATGGTATGACAAAAAATTTGACGGTTCGGTGATATTTTGGCCAAATCGAACCGAAACCGAACCGTTGCTATCCCTACATAGACAAGACCATTAGTGTAATTGATGAAGGTGAAGTTGTGTTCTAGCTAGAATGAAAGCAGAGGTTGAATTGGTGAATGCAGCAAATTTGAAATGATTAAAATGAGGTTTCGCTCCAAGTTAAGTGACCAAAGCTACTTTTTTCTATATAGAAAATGTATTGCAAGATAACATCAAGACAACTTTTTTAAAAACTCGTTAAGGACTGGTGTCGTGAAATCTTGTTCCAAAAATTGTCAAATCGGTATTTTTGGGGCTCAATTTTACGTTACCTTTCTCTACCAAACAGTCAATCCAAACGGCTCCAATTTATAACCAATATAATTATTTTGATTCTTTTCAATCTTACTCACAAAGGACAAGATAACTGTTGATGATTTGTAAGCCACAAAGGCAAGAAGAAAGCGATGAAAGAAGGAACGAAGAGGAGACCAATAACAAAAAGAAACCACCGATTTTGGAAGCTCAAATCAGCTGACTTTTTCTCTCTATGGCAACCACATTTTTCACCCTTTCACACACACAAATCACACTAAAATGGCTAGGGTAGAAAAAAAAAAAAACACACACACACACACACACAAGGTCAGGTTAGGCTTTAAATGAACCAATAGGTTAAATGGGCCAAGATTTAATCAAGCAGTAATATGTAGGAGCCGGGAAGAACATTTGGACTTGACTATTGATAATTATTTCACTCATTGGCCGAAAACTACGAAATATATTACGACATTTACATTATAGCCCATGATTTGTTAGGTATCAAAACCCAACAAAACTCCACATTGATACCCAATAAACCTGCAAGCAATTGAAACACACAGTTAGAACTTGCATGTAACCAATAAAATTGGGATTATAGACATTACCTCATGTTTTGAACCCGAAATACATGTCATACCTACTCGATATGCTCACTAAGGCGAAGGTCAATAATACCCTAGTAGTAGCAAATATTCACAGTAATTAATCAATAACAAATAAACATGCAATTACGATATAATATAGGATGATACACAAATCTTTTCAAACATGTTCACACAGAATAATAAATCAACTCCAAATTAATTAATCAAAAGGCCAACACATATGTAACATACACATAAATTACCCTACGAAAGGATCTCACTACACTAATCATATTACATTCCGTGTTACTCTAATCTCGAGAACACATATCTTCTCTCATCACCCACCATACTCATTAGATTGATCACTCAACCCACGTCTAAATGGTAAACCACAATAGATTCTAAGTCTACAGGATAATTCTCTATCACCACATCACTTCTTCCAATATAAGTAGATAATAGGTCACCACCTAACAGAAATAATAGAAGTGCTCCTCTCCATCTGATCAGGGTCTCTTTGCAGATAAAAGATTCCAACATTTAATCATTTCTCCACTAGTGATCCAACTCTCCACATCCCTGAAACAAACCACAAATGTATTCCCAGGGATCTATACTCCCCGTTACCAAAAAACACTCAACACACTACAATGTATCCTAACCCATTATGTATGCAAATAATTACATTAATAACAAGATCACTTTAATTCATGCAGTTACACACACGAACAAATTGAAAGTGTAACATATCAACACAGTAGAATTAAACAATCACATATGTGCAGAAAGGATTACTCACAGATGCACATAAAGTTTACTCTCAATAAATCTCACCAGGGTCATCACTCGACCCTATAGCCACACTTGCCTCACCTCTCATCTTATACTTCTGTTTATTTTTCTTCTTGGGGCAATCCCTAATAAAGTATCCAAACTTTCCACAACTGTAACATCGTCTACCACTAGACTTGTCCCGTTCCTTACCCTTCTTCTTACCACTCTTATCACTCGAGTCACTACTTTCTTGATCTCTACCCAAATTTATTTGCTTAAACTTCATTCTACTCCTCATTATATGTAACTCACTACTATTCTTATCTTCTTTTTCAATTTTACTTATCCATTTCCTTACTCTTAAGGAAATTTATTACAATCTCGGGTGTTAGAGTATCTCTACCATACTTAGCTCCCATTTGGCCCCCATTTTCTAGAAATGAAAATGGGTGGAATAGTGTTTTTTTGAAAAATGAGTGGTTGAAAATGAAGGAAATTTTTTTGATTTACATATAATATTATTTTATGGAAGATTGTGTGTTTGAGAATAAGAGAGAAAAATGAAATGGAATGAAAATTAATGGGGGTCAAACGAGGGTTTTAATCGCACTTTTAACTTCTTTATATGAATCGAACATATAATTAAATAAAATAATAGTCTTACACGTTTCAGACATCTTTTCTCTAAACAAGTTTGTTGACAATAACCAAATTGTCATCAAGATCTTTTGAATGATTCATTTTGAAACTAAAAAACCGTTCAAACAAGTACAACTTATTAGGAATGGACTTAAACAAATATAAGTCATGCAATTTTTGCCAAAGTTCTTTTG